ATTAAATTATACATTTCTATGCAAGCATGCCCCAAATATAGACAAGTGACTACAGAAGATTTTCATATATATATAACAAGTGAGGAAACGGGTAGTCATGGAGTGCTTATAGAGTGCAATAGCCGAAACCGGTTTGGCTCAGTGGATAGAGCGTCGGCCTGCGGACTGAAAGGTCCCAGGTTCGATTCCGGTTAAGGGCATGTATCTGGGTTGCGGGCACATCCCTAGTAGGAGATGTGCAGGAGGCAGCTTATCGATGTTTCTCTCCCATCGATGTTTCTAACTCTCTATCTCTCTCCCTTCCTCTCTGTAAAAAATCAATAAAATATATTTTTTAAAAAAAAAGAGTGCAAATAGGTATAATCATTTTAGACAGCAGTTTGGCAGGATTGATTAAAATAAAAATTGCAGATATCCTGTGAGCCTAATTCTGGTGGGTTTTTTTGGTTATTTATAAGTATCACATAGGTGATCTCCTATAAAATACATGATCAGTGTGTTATAAATGTGTAGAGAAATATCCACAAATGTACAAGGAATTATATAGAAGGATGTTTAGTGTACCACTTTATATCAGAGAAAAACTGAAAAGAATGTAAATGTTCATAAAAGGATCCTAACTATGTTATGTCTATACTATGAAATATCATGAGCATTTAAAAGAATGGGGTAGATTTAAAAATGGTCTAAGGACTTATGTAGACAGTTCTTGGAAGAAAATATGCAAATGGCCAACAAGCACATAAAAAGATGCTCAGCATCACTAGTCATTAGGGAAATGCAAATCAAAACCACAATGAAATGCCACCTCACACCTATTTAGGATGGCTACTATTAAGAAATATGCCCTGGCTGGTTTGGCTCAGTGGGTAGAGCATCAGCCTGCGGACTGAAGGGTCCCAGGTTTGATTCCAGTCAAGGGCACATACCTGGGGTTGTGGGCTTGATCCCCAGTAGGAGGCAGCCAACCAATGATTCTCATCATTGATGTTTCTGTCTCTCTTTCCCTCTCCCTTTGTCTCTGAAATCAAAATATATATCACAATACCAGATATCAAGCTATATTGCAAAGCCACAGTTCTCAAAATTGCCTGGTACTGACACAAGAATAGACATAGACCAATGGAACAGAACAGAAAACCCAAAAATAGACCCAAGCCATTATGCTCAATTAATATTTGACAAAGGAGGCAAGAGCACACAATGGAGTCAAGACAGTCTCTTCAATAAATGGTGCTGGCAAATTTAGTCAGATACATGCAAAAAAATGAAACTAGATCACCAACTTACACCATACAGAAAAACAAACTCAAAATGGTTAAAGGACTTAAATGTAATATGGGAAACCATAAAAATCTTAGAAGACTCCATAGGCAGCAAAATATCAGACATATGTTGTAGCAATATCTTTACCGATACAGCTCCTAGAGCAATGGAAACTAAGGAGAAAATAAACAAATGGGACGACATCAAAATAAAAAGCTTCTGCACAGCAAAAGAAACCATCAACAAAACAACAAGAAAGCCCACTGCATGGGAGAACATATTTGCCAATGCTATCTATCTACACTAATAAAAGAGAAACATGAAAATTGGTGTTACTTCGCTACGCCCACCAGCCAATCAGATGAGTATACAAATTAACCCAACAAAGATGGCGGTTAATTTGCATACACAGGCGCAGAGCGAAGACTGAAGGCTCTGACCTGAGTGAAGACTGAAGACTGAAGGAGGCTTGGCTTCTCCGCTGCGCCGCAATGGAGAAGCCAAGCGGCCATGGAGCTGGAGGCTTGGTTGCCCCCGGTGATGGAGGAAGCCAAGCTTCCCAGCCTGCCCTGGCTCCGCTCAAGGGAGAGAACAACAGCAGGTGCAGCCAGGAGTCTGAGAGATCAACACAGAGGGGCGCCTGCTCCGAGCCTCTGACACGGCTGGGGGCAGGCCCCCAGAAGACACACACACACACACACACACACACACACACACACACACACACACACGGGGCGCCTGCTCTGAGCCTCTGTGGCGCGGCTGGGGGCAGCCACC